GGAACTGATCCAGACTTCGTGAATGCAGTGTCAGTGAGGAGGCCTCAGAAATCTCTGGGGCCTTGGGTAGTAGATCAGTGTTCACCATGGCATACGAATGAACTTTGGGAGCCCATTCCACATGGAGGGATGCTCTCTCAGCCTGGATACATGGGGAAGGGCCTAGGTCCTGCCCTGGATGAAATGACAGATTCTGGAGATCCCCCCCAAGGAGGGCCTCACCCTCCCTGGGGAATGATGTGGGGATTGGGCCAGGGGCTGGGGGGGGGGGCTGGTGGAGGGGAAAGGGAGGAGGGGAGGGAGAAGGAGCTGGGATTGACATGTGAAGCATGTGTTTCTAATTTAAATAAAAACATAAATTGAGAAAATAATGCTGATGAGAGCACAAGCTGAAATGAAACTCAGTAACGCAGCTAGAGAACATGAGGGAAAGGAGGAATCAAGGAGAAGGTAGATTACTGGGACTTGAACATGTGGAAGACTCTAAATACTCAATCAAAGGCTTAAAAAGTTTAAATAAAAATTAAACAAAACATGAAAAGAATACATAAAAATGTTGGGCACCTCAAAAAGACTAAAACTCCCAGGTCAATTATCCAAGCCAGATATTCAACAAGACCACAAAACAAAACCTCCCCAAATTAAGGAAAGACACTCAAATAAAACAAGACATGACCAGAAAAGAAACTCCCCTCAGCAGATTATAATAATAGTATTTAATAGACCAAACAAGGATGGTGTACTGGGAAAAGATAGAGAAACCACAAGCCACACATGAAGGAAAACCCATCAAAGTAACAACTGATTTCTCAATGGAAAACTTTTAAAGCAACCACTTCAAGTTCTAAAAGACCATGGATGCCAACCTAGACTACTGTAAAGCTATCTGTCAGGGTTAAAGGAAAAAGAAAAACTTTCCATTATACAAACAGACTTAGTGAAATCATTTGCAAGATGGGAGAGAAGGCCCAGCAGTTAAGAGCACTGGATGCTCTTCCAGAATTTCCAGTTCAATTTCCAGCTCTCACATGGAGGCTCACATCTTTCTGCAACTCTAATTGTAAGTGATATGATGCACTCTTCTGGCCTCTGCAGGCATCAGGCACATCCATGGTGCACAGACATATATGCAAGCACAAACACTTATACACATAAAGTAATAAAGAAATTCATTTCCAACAAATCATCCCTACAGAATATATTAGAAGCAATACTTAGGACTGAAGAGATGAATGGGCATAGCCAAGAATACAGAAAGAAAACAAATGAAATTATAATTACTGAAACACAATAGAGGACTAAGAACATAAACAGTAAAACAAATGAACAACACTCCATGAAAGTGACAGTCATCAACAAACACCTTTAAAACTAAAGCATTAGTAACCCCAATAAGCCAATTAAAAGACACAGTTTTATTAAATGGATTAAGAAACAAAATCCATCTGTCTAAGTCTACAAGGAAACATCTAACTTTCAAAGATAGGAGCCACCTTAAAGCAAAAGGATGGAAAAAATATTTGAACTGCTTAGTTTTTTTGTCAACTTAACCCAAGCTAGGGTCATTTGGGAAGAGAACCTCTATTGAGAAAGCATTTCCATCAGACTGGCCTATAAGCAAGCCTGTGGAGAATATTCTTGATTAATGGTTGATGTGGGAGGGCCCAGCCCACTGTGGGCAGGGCCATCCCTAGGCAGATGGTTGTGGATGCTATAATAAAGCAGGCTCAGAAAACCACAGGAAGCAAGCCAGTAATCAGCACTGCTCCATGGCCTCTGCCTCAGTTTCTGCCTCCAAGTTCCTACCTTGACTTCCTATCCTGACTTCTTTTCATAATGGACTTTAAGCCGTAAGAGGAAATAAACCCTTTTCTTCTCAAGTTGTTCTTGGTTATGCTGTTATCACATAAATACAAACCAAACAAACACAATATTCTAAGCGATGGGACCAGAAAGCAAGCCAAGAGTCCCTATCTTAATATGACAAAATAGACTTCATACTAAAACTAATGAGAAACCAACGTCATCTCAAATGAAGAAAAACTCAAAACAATACATTAAAATCAGACTGAGACAGGGCTACCCACTTTCCCTACCCCTTCTCAATATAGTGCATTAGTGGCTGTGGTGATCTGAATGAGAATGCCCCCATAGGCTCACATATCTGAACAATTGTCCCTAGATGATAGAACTGTTTTGTGAAGGATTAGGAGGTGTGGCCATGGTGAGGGAAGTGTGTCACTGGGGGAGGACTTTGAGGGTTCAGAAGCCCACACCAGGCTTAGTCAGTCAGTCTGCCTATCTCCAGCCACACCTAACTCGTGCCTGTAGATCAAATCTAAGCTCTCGGCTACTGATCCAGTGCCATGCCTGCCTACCTGCCGCCATGCCCACCAGTTAAATGCTTTCTTTTACAAGTTGCCTTGGTCATGATGACTTTTCACAGCAAGGCAAAGTAACGAAGGCACTGGTGCTTATATACTAAGAGTAATCAACAGTTATCTAATTAGGTGTAAGGCCTAATTAGACAGGAGGGGGAAGTCTCATATTACAACCCTAGTCAACTACCCCTGACTAGTGAGGCCCATGGATCCTAAAGGAGAACCTACTTTGGTGAATCAGCATAATTTCTAACTGCACAGCCAATACTTATCCTCATACCCATAAGTAAGTGTAGGTCTCAGCCCTCATCAAAGAAGGTTCTTTCTGGGACAAACAGAAATCATTACCGAAGTCCACAACTGAGCAAAATGCAGATAACTGACAGTGGGTGACCAGCTCCACTTGATACAACTATAATCCAATCCCTATATCTAAGGCTCAGGGAACATATCAGAAGAGAGGGTGGACAGATGGTAGGACCTGGATGACCAGGAAGTCAGGATGTCTGCTGCAGACAGCCGCATCCACTAATCTCAACGGTATGGTTTCTTAAACAACCTGAACAATGGCAACACCTTTTGAAATGCCAATGTGGATGGGGGAAGTTTCCCAAGGCCCCACCTTGGGATGAAGAGCTACAGGCAATTAATGGCTACTAAAAGAGGGCAACTCAGTCTTCTCCAGGGACAAGCTCCTCCAAACTCATGTGGTCAGGCTTAAACACATATACATATAAACACTACTAAAGGGACTCAAAAGTTGTATTCAAAAAAGAGCTCGTGCTTGCCTGCGTGTGTGTGTGTTTGTGTGTGTGTGTGTGTGTGAGAGAGAGAGAGAGAGAGAGAGAGAGAGAGAGAGAGAGAGAGAGAGAGAGAGAGGCAATAATAAAGAATAAAAGGCCATGGATTTCAGAGGTAGTTGCGGAGCACAAGGGGGAAAAGGGGGAGATATAATGTAAATATATAAAAACAACTGGCTGTGGACTGTGGGTCAATGGTAGAGCTGTTACCTACTATGAAACCCAATGTACAATCCCTAGAAAGGAAAGTGAAGACAGAACATCTAGTAGAGGAAAAAGTAAAAACAATGCATGTGAAGAAGTGATGTCCTTCAAGAAGAAGATGGTTCAACTGATAGCAAAGAGGCATCTTCATTGTTTTATGCTGGTTTTTCATTTGTTCTGGTGTTGGAGCCTGGGCAAAGGCCCTGTGTGTGCTAAGTACTCTCCCTGCTACAGAGCCACATCTGCAGCCTCCAATAGGAAAGCTTAACAAGAGAATCAATTCCATCCTGTCTAGGCCTTGAGCTAATTTTTCCTAGAGTAATTTAAATGAGGCAAATACGTTGGAGCTAAAGCTGACATATTTAGCAACAACAACAACAACAACAAGCAAGTAGATTAAGGCCTGTTTTCAAATAAACAATGAATTTGTTTTTAGTTTTGGTTTGCCCCACATATTTTGTGTTTACCTGAAATTCATAGTTAACCGAGAATCCTGTATTTTACCTGACAATCCTAGTTGTAGCCATGACATAGAACACAATTTCCACACTCAAGAGCAGAAGCTAAAAAAAAAAAATCAAAACAAAAAAAAAAACTAACAAAAGTCACTCTACTGAAGCTTAAAATGAAGGGAAAGGAAGTGAATTGTCTTGGAAAAAGACACCTGGATCACACTGATGTGAGACCCCCACTGTCCACTCCCCTCACAAAGGGCAAACTTTTTGAAATGTGTTTTCATGCCCAGCAGTTCCCCCCCCACCCCAGCATCAAATTCCAGTACATATTTCATCACTAGAATCTCCAGAGTCAAGAAGTTAAGAAAGTGCGTGCTGCTCTTTAGTTTTCCTGGTAATTGCCTCTGCCTGTACTCACTACTTCCTGCTCTGCACACATCCACTCACTATCAAAAACTATCAAACTATTAACTCCTAAACTGAATCTCTCGAGATTCAAAATTCCCTAGCTTCAGATTTCCAACACTTAGTAAAAGACCGTGTCCACATCAGTTTCTAACTCTAACAAGTGTAGTTCATATATTCCTTTTCACAGACCGCGACTTGGGTATTCTAAACGAAGTATTCCACTCCCATTTTGAGTAACTAATTGACCAGGTGTGAAGTCTACTATATAAACACACTCGTGTTTCTCCTGGGACTGGTCAGAAATACTGGTGCTTTTTTCAGGAGATAAGTAATATACTAATTATTTATCTAATTGCATACAATCGAACAAAATAAAAAAGAGAAAAATAATTGTAGAGGGCCATACACCACATTTATCTTCAGACACCATCAAATTAATAACAAAACCCAACATAACTCCATAATAAATTTTGACAGCTGTGTGACCACTGTGTGTCCTTAAGTGGAGGAGACAATGAGGCAGATTTTTTTCTCTCTCTCTTTCTCAAAAGGGCATTCAGAGAAGCGTTTCTTCTTTTCAAGGGAGGCTTCATTGCGTTTAAGCAACGTGAGAACAAGAAGATGAGCCATTACGATTCTCCCTAACAAGTTCTCTGTAAAAACTTGACTCAGATGAAGAGTCCAAGTCGGTTCCAAAAAAACATGTTTAAAGACAAGCAAAAAGGCGGCGATTATAATGCTAAGCAGCCTACCTACACTTCCCTCCTGCGCTTCTGCTTAAGCAGGACTCTCCCGACGCCACGTCAGGCACTTAGAGAGCAGGAGTCCACACTTCCATCTCGGATGTAGAAACAGAAGCAGGGGCAAAGGCAGGAGGGGCTGCTGGGTGCACGCCCTCACAGCCCAGTCCGGGAAAGACTTCACCTGAGCGCGCCGGAGGCCTCAGGTCGCCGGCGGATCGGATGACCGGACTCCGCCCCGCTGCGCGCGGCCTCCCCCGGGCCGCGACCACCGCGCACCCACCTGTCGCGGCCTCCTGGCAGCCACACCCCTGGCGGCCGGGCGCGCGGGCTCCGGCCACGCCGCACCTCGGCGCGAGCAGCTCAGGTGGGCGCCGAGCTCCGCCCGCGGCCCGCTTCCTGCATGACACAGTCCGGACGCCTCGGGGCCGCTGGGTCAGCGCGCCACCACCCAGCGAGAGGACGCCGACTGACCGGTCATGTGACGCGCCGGTCACGTGCCCGTCGCGCCCCAGGCAAAAGCGTTGCTGGGGCGACCTGGGGCGCTGGGAAGGTGGGGCGACAACCCCGACGGGGTGAGGACGCCAGCAGCGCTAGGTGAGACTGCTCTTAGACTCCGCCCGGCTTCACCTTCTTGGCCTAGAGGAAGGGAAACCTTCCGGTACGGGAAGCTAGCAAATGGAAGTGGCAGCTGCGGGAACTAAGCGATAAAACATGTTTGTATGGACGAACAGGGATTTTGTGGTGGTTTTTTTTTTTTCCGTTTTGCTCTCCCTAACCTAGAAATACTGATTGTGTATGGTATGAATATGTAAACATAAAATTATAATTTTCATGCGGATATTGCCACTCATGTACTTACGAACATGTCTTTATCGGTGGATATTTGACTCTACTTTGTTCACGTTAACTCTTCCCTGATTATACTTCTAGAGTAGTATTCTTTGTGACTTCTCCCTGTTGTTGGTTGAACTCAGGGATTCTCTCAGAAGGTATCTCTGAGTTTCATCCCTAGCTCTTACTATTTCTTACAATTCTGATTTTCCTAACTCACACCTTACAGAAGCAGAGGTTTCAGCCACTGGCAATTTTACTTACCCAATAACCTTCATTACACGGTGCATTAAAGAGTATTTTTTTTTAATTCGTGAGAGATCTGTAAGCAATTCCCGTAACACTCCACAGTTTTCTGTGTCTAGAAGTAGGTCTGTTTAGCTAATCAAGTCGTCGTCCCCCCCAATGCTGATCGCTTTGCATATTTGGCTACCTAGAGAGCAAACTGTCAAGAGACAAAACACCTGCATCCATTCAGCAAAGCCCAACAGGTTCTTTTGTGCATTCATACAGAAAACATAATGGTGAGTTTCCTCCGTGCAGTTATTTTGTTGTGGGAAGCAAAAGCTACAACCTGAATCTTCCTGCCCCCTTCTGGCAGCAGGTGTTCCAAGAAGGCAGGGCTAATCTCCCATTACTACAGTGTCTGCCTACGGTGGGTAACTGATCTGGTAGTGTGGAAGCCTGCCGCCATCCCACTGTAAGAAGTGACAAAGCCTTCAGGCTTCTGGAGGCTTCTGTGAGGTTTTTATGGAGCTGGAAAGTATTATTACGTGGGCAAAGCTAGAGTGAGTCCTAAATCAAGCAGCCCTGCCTAAGAGATTTCCGAAGCCTTTGTTAAAACAAAGCTCAGAGTCTTGAGGGGGAGAGAGAAAATAAAAAGACATCTTGTATCTGTCCAAATAATTCCTGTCCCCGGTTTACATCTCAGCAGCAGACTGTCAATGAGGAAACAAATGCACCTGTACTGCCTGTAAAGCTGCTAGTGGGTGGATTGTTAGAGGTGACCGTGTGCTCAGTCCTGGAAGCTGGGTGGCACTTGATCCTCCCTGTCCGCTGTGCTTATGGGTATGCCTCCCCTCTCCTGGAGATTGTGAATTATGGGATGGTTAGGGAGGCATGAGCTCCCCTAGAGCTAGTCACAGCCACCTCTCTAAATGGTTAAGCATGTAAAGCATGAACTAACTGGTTTACCAGTTAAGGGTTCATTGCAAACAAAATAGGCTGTTACATGGTAGTGGGCGCCTATAATTTCTGCCCTTGGGAGGCTTTCAAGACAAGAGATCATGAATTCAGGGTCAAGGCTAGTCTACATAGTTGACCTAAAACTGTGTGTGATAAAATAACTGTGATTGTCTATGACCATAATGTCATTTAACACAGTTGAATTGTGAGGAATAACAGGAAGTGGCAAACAAATTTAGAGATGAATAACTAAGTCCTAACTATGCTTTGGAAGAGCCACCTTTGAATCTACTTTTCCTTATTTTCAGTCTTGACAGACTGAAACACCTATAATTTATGGAAAAGGTTTACTTTGGCCTGGTGCTGGGGTTCAATCCTAGATGACAGGACAATTTTCCTTTGTTGTTGTGTTTATGAAGCCAACTTCTTTGATTAAGCTCATCAGAACACTCAATCTTTCGTCTAGAATGAGGTGTTTTCACTGGTCTATAATTGAAAAAATAAAAGTGGGCATGGAGGTCCATGCCTGTGACCCCAGAAATACCAGAGGCTAAGATTGGAGATCACTCAGTTAAGTCTTGAAGGGCAATGTGAGCAATAGAGCAAGACTGCATCAAACAATAGATGATGATGATGATGATGATGATGATGAAGAAGAAAGAAGAAGAAGCCCAATTAAGATCTTAAAACTAAATTTCTTGCAATTGCTGACAGTGAACATAGGTCACAACTTGGAGGTTTGTTGTTAGGTGCATGAGACTTTTTAGCTTTGCCACCACTGCCCAGCTATTTTCTCTTTTCATTGTTTAATGAAGAAACTGAGAGACAGTACGGGTTGGTTGGAAGACAGTGCCACATGGTTGATCCTTTGGGTCTCTTCTTTGGTTGCAATCATGCAGTTAATCCAGGGTAGTGCTATATCCCGAGGACTTGCTCATCTAGATAAGAACATGTAAGCGCCACATGCAACTCTCCAGCTTTCTCTTTTGCTACCACAATATTCCAGGGCATTGTGAAGCTCATTCAATAAACAGCTGAGTTCCTAAGTTACTTTATTGGGCGGCTGCCCTAGGAGATTTCTCAACTCACTGGCTTTTCTTTTTCTTTCTTTTTTGGAGGGGCGGGGGGAGGTTCGAGACAGGGTTTCTCTGTATTGTTGTGGAGGCTGACCAGGAACTCGCTCTGTAGGCCAGGCTGGCCTTGAACTCACAGAGATCCTCCTGCCTCTACCTCCTGAGTGCTGGGATTAAAGGTATGTGCCACCAACGCCCGGCTCTTTTTCTTTTTTGAAAACAATTTAACTTCATTTTATTTGCATTGGTGTGAAGGTTTAAGATCCCCTGAAACTGCCACATGGGTGCTGGAATTTGAACCTGGGTCCTCAGGAAATAGCAGTCATTGCTGTTAACCACTGAGGCATCTCTCCAGCCCCCACCCACTGGGTTTTATATGAGTAATAAGTGAACTTTGGTGCAGTAAACCACTGAACTTTGGGGGATTAATTTGAAACCACAGCATAATATAGTATCAGTTAGAGTCTCAAATCTATCTCCCAAATTCATAATGTTGAAGTTCTAACCCTTAATACCTTTTATTATAAGACTTTTTACTCTTTAGGTTGTAACTCAATACTGTTGTTTTCTGTTGTGAAACAAACTTTGCACACTGTAAATATGTATTACTCTCATTGGTTAATAAAAATGCTGACTGGACAATAGCTAGGCAAGAGGTATAGATAGCACAGCAAAATACAACAGACACTGGAAATGAAAATGGTGGAGAGGAAACAAGAGATGCAAGATGAAGGAGAGGTAATGCCACATGGCAGAATGTAGACTAATATAAGTGGGTTAATTCAAATTACAAGAGTTAGGTAGTAACAAGCCTAAGCTATTGGCTGAGCATTTATAATTACTCATACGTTTCTGAATGATTATTTGGGAGCGGCCACATAGACACAGATAAACTCCGTCTACAAATGGTGACCAATGTGTGGCTCCTAAATCCACATAAAATCTGAGAAAGCTTTTAGAAAGGTTCTAAACACAGAAAAACGGAGCCAGACATGGCTTCCCAGACTCATGTCTTTCTTGCCAGTTGCAGTACAAAGAAGAGTCTCCCAGAAGCTGCCTGCAGGGGGAGCAATCTGCCAGTCTCCAAGTACTACACTGTACACTTAAGCTACACCAACGACAGCCGATATAACAGTTTTAAGATTCATCTCATACAGTCAAAAAACAGTACAGATCCTCAGTAAAACAGATACAGACATAAAAAACCTCTAAATGTGTTAATGTGTTTTAATATAGACAAACTCCATCTACAGTTTTCTTGTACAGATTATTCAAGGTTTGACCACTCAGAGTGCATTCATATAACTCTTGTGTCCTTCTGACATGTCATAATTATTGTATATTTAAAATCTATTTTTGGTTTTTCAAGACAGGATTTCTCTGTGTAGCCCTGGCTGTCCTGGAACTAGCTCTGTATACCAGACTGGCCTCCAACTCACAGAGATCTGCTAGTGTCTGCCTCTCAAGTGCTGGAATTAAAGGCCTGTGCCATAGCCACTGGCTACGGTGGGTTGTTTTGTTTTGTTAAATCGCATCCTTACTCTCTGAGATTGTAGTTTGTTTATGTTTCCTGCCTCAGCATTATGACCAGCCTCCTCTCCAAGGCAGTGTCATTGAGAAATTGTACGGGAAACCAAGATCTGGGCATGAAGCATACTCACTGCTCCTAGATTACTGTGACTTCTAGGCCTTCTCAGATAAACTGCAATGACACATAGTCACACAAATGAAACGTTATTAACAGTAAGGAGAAATGGGCTAAAAGTTAAACCAAGACATTTCTTCCATTATTTTAAGTGGTGTTTTTCAGTTTAGGAGCTCATTGTTAAACTTAAAACTTAAGATGAGGTTGTGTATATCACAGATGAGGGCCTGATAACACTTGATACTCTGACAACAGCATTAAGAACAATGTCTCCTCAGTTCACTAAGATTTACAGACCCAAATTAAATCTGTCTGACTCTGCCTTGAGTTCAGTCATTCACTGACATCACAGTTAACACATGATAAACAGACCTTGCTACTTTTAAGTGCTAATCTTAGTCATAGCAGTCTGCTATATGTGTTACTGTTTATGTGATTTGATATCTCAAGTCTTCTAGATTCCCTTCAAATGATGGTCTCACAATCATCAAGCAAGATCATATATAATATAGCCCCTTAGTCCAGACAGGCTGAGACTTG